TGTTCTCAACCTCTTCAGAAGCTGAAAGCGAGCAATGGCACCTTTCGGATTCCTTCAGGAGGGACTGCAACATGTGCTCACAAGGAGCTTACACAGCTTTTTGATGCCAAATCTGACCTCTCAGGTACATGGGCCATTCTATGTGCAACTACTCGCGTCACCGCTACTTGGCATCAGGTCACTCCGACGGTTAAGGTCCTTGCATTCAATTTTTATGCAGTGGCTAATGCTGCCTCCGAGCGTACCAAGTTCGAGAGAAACAATGAACTTCTGGACCAGATCCTTTTGGTGGCTGCTCAGTTTGGAGATGTCCCCGCGCTGATTGCCGGGGACTTTCAAATGGAACCAGGCGTGTATCCAGCTGTCCAACTTGCTTTGGATCATTGGGGATGGGCGGATCCATTGTTACAAACAAATGAAGTTGGGGAGGTTTTCAGGCCTAATACCTTTTTCCAGCAAGCTGCAACTGTTGATGGGGAGGGCCAGTCGTCCATTGATGGCATTTTGATGAATCGAACTGCATTGGCCGCCCTTGTCCGCATCGAAGTTCTGGATCATCGTGATCGTCAGCATCGTCCAGTGCAAGCAACATTTGCTTGGGATCGTATCCAGCAAGCTGGTACTATTCTCCAGAAGTTTGCCAAGCTTGATGTGTCACAAGTTCCTAAATGTGATACCTCTGATCCGGTATGCCCATACAACCAATCATGTGAGCAACTCTGGTTGCAATATGAGACAAGTTTTCAGGCCGAACCTGCGTCGGACAGTAAATGGGGTCTTTTCAATGAATTTGCCCTGGATGTGCTCTTGCAACATGGTGCAAAATGGGAAAAAGGCCCTCGTGCCCGAGGCCGTCTTCCCAAATTTCGCAAGACACAGATTGCTACACCACAGGAGCTCTCTGGGAATCCTGCTTCACCCCGACTCCTCTTGCTTCGGGCATGCCTTCGCTCGCTACGTGAGTTGACTTATCGATTTGATCGAGCCTGCACTGGAGAAGCTGATGCTCGAACTTTCTTCTTCACGCAGAAAAAGCTGCTACGTCGACTCAAAGAAGCCTGGCTTGTTCCGATGAATATGCGCCAGGTTTTTGCCTTCGATCTGCCTCATTTGACTGAGTTGACCTTACAAGCCATCGCTGAAGAGCTCAAGCTGATGAAACAGACAGCAATCCGGAAGTGGCGGGAAGCGATGAAGAACGCCACTACCTCGTTGACCATTGGCAAAGTTGTGTATCAGTATCTCAAGCGTAAAGGTCGTGTTCTCCCTCAAAATTTGGTAGAGGATGACGATGGCAACATTGTCTACGACCCGCAAACTGCAATGGACACTATTGCAGAGAAATGGGATGCTGTTTTCTCTGCCAATGCCAGTCACCAACATGAGATGCAGATTTTGAAGCAGGTTTGGCCCTATATTCACGACAAGGGCCAATCTGTCGTGTTGGGGCCCATCACGGAAATGCAACTTTGGGAGCAAGCGGCACGTCGTAAACCTGATGCAGCTGCTGGCTTGGATGGGTGGAACACCCGAGAGGTACAAGCTCTTCCTCCTGCAGCTTTCAGACCAGTTGCTGCATTGTTCAATGAAATTGAGGCTGGTACTTCAGACTTTCCGACGATTCTTACTCAGGTGAGGATGATCATTTTGAATAAGGATGGCAGTGATGCTCCCCTGTCCAAACGCCTGATCTCCCTGCAGTCTATTTTCACCTTGCTGTACACAGGGCTCCGTTTCCTGCAACTTCAGACTTGGCAGCAACAGGTGATGCCTCCCCAACTCAAAGGAGGCATCAAAGCCAGACAGATGTCCGAAGTACACATGACCTTGCAGCTGGAAATCGACCATGCTCATAGCTTTCAAGGATCCTTTGCAGCCCTGAAGCTCGACAAGTCAAAGTGCTTCGATCGCTTGATGCCCAAACTATGTGCTGCAATTATGCTAGCGTTGGGCCTACCTGCTACACTGGTGCGTGGTTTCTTGGGTCTTTATACCCGAATGACCCGATTCCTCTCCTTTAAACAATGGACAAGGGAGAGATCGATTTCCATGCCAAATGGTGTTGTTCAGGGATGCTCCCTCAGCTTGCTCTGTATTAACATACACATTGCTATATGGGCCTGGATCATCTGCAAGATTGATGGTGTTGCCTTTCGAGCTTTCATAGATGACACCTATCTGTGGACTCGTCAACCCACCATTGATGGGCTTGTCGCTGCAGTCCGCGCAACTGAATTATGGGACTCGCTTTGTGGACAGTTCCTCAACACGAGTAAGTGTGAAATTTTCGCTACGAGCAGTTCTCTTCGCAAGGCTCTTAAGCAGGCTTTCCCACAAATGAAATTGGTTGAGGTGGTCAACATATTGGGGGCCTTTGTCCAAACTACGAAGAAGAATGTTGGCAGTTTCCCGGGTGCCAAGCTTCAGAATGCCCTTAGAGACTGTGAGTCCATCCGTGCTTTGCCGTGTGACAGCTACAAACGTGCCCAGATCTTGGCAACGAAAGTTCTGCCTCAGATTGCCTTTGCTCCCCAACTTAACTTCGTTCCCAAGCGTTTGTTGTCTCGCTTGCAGAGTGCAGTGGCGGATGCGCTATGGCAAGACCGACCTCGCTGGCGATCCAAGCACCTGTTGCTGTGCATTATACACAAGGCCCATAAATTAGATCCTTTCTTGTGCCGAGCAGTGACAACGATTGTGGAGTCAGTCCGCTTCTTGCAACAATCTTCATCTGCCCGCCAACAATGGCAACAGCTTTTTGATCAAGATCAGCTCACTGCACAAGCGTGGATGACCCAGTTCGCTCAAGCCTGTACCGTCCTTGATATTGAGTGGATTCATACCTTTGAGTTCTCGGTGTTTGGGTCAGCCCCTGTACATTTCCTGGACTTTTCGGTGAAGGACTTGAAATGCGTGCTCAAGAGCTTAGCTGCCAACAAGTGTTATCAGACAGCGTGTTTAATGCCGCGCAAGGACATCTATACTGCAGCTGGGTTCTTGGACCTTGCCTTGACGCTCTCAGCCAAGAAAAAACTGGCGAATGTGCCTAATGATGGATTCTCTTTTCTATTTCATTGGGAGAGTGCCTTGGTTGGCTGCACACTTACAGCGGACCGCTTGGCAGCAGCTGGTTTGGTTGATAGACCTCACTGCAGGTTTTGTGATGCGCCCAAGGAATCTATACAGCACTTTGTTGACGAGTGTGAGCACCTTCCAGTTGATTTGCGACAGCCGTCAACTGCCTTTTCTATGGGGCCTAATTTCCCCATGCTTGGCATAGTTGAGCTTCCGCTTGAAATCATCCAGAAGAAACTGGTCTGTTCCAGTCCGTCACATGTACAGGTGGCTCCATGGATGGGTACCCTTTCTTCAGTTGGCCATGTCTGGACTGACGGTTCAGTGCAGCTCACAAACTATCCTTGGTTTGCGCTAGCTGCCTTTGCAGTGGTTGGTCCTGACCAATCTGTGCTCGCTGCAGGAAGTGTTCATCACTGGCGATTATCGAGTTATTCTGCTGAATTGTGGGCAATATTAGTAGCCTTTGCCATGGCTACGCAACCGCTGGTCATACATACTGACTCCCTGACTATTGTTCAGCAGTTCTCGTCGCTTCTTGGTGATGGTGTGGTTCAGTTGGAATGGACGCATGCAAATTGGTGGAACTTTCTCTACAACTTGTTGGTCCAGAGGAGGAGTTTCCATGACTCCCCCCTCCAACTGACATGGTGCCCTGCACATTTATTGGAGCACATCCCTAGCTCCATGGTCACGGAGGAGGAGGCGGTGAGAGTTGGATCTTCGCGGCAAGACATTGTTCTCAACCGTCTGGCTGACACCGTTGCCAAAAACCACATTCAGAAAGCTGCTCGTGACATTAAGGCTGATATGGTCATGAAAGAAGCAGATGTTTTTGCACGGCAGTTATGGCTCTCGAAATGCAACCGCATCTGTAAAAAACCAGCTGGTAGCACTTCATGCCCTGGGGAGACAGTTGCTCAAGTTTCTGCACCTTTCACTGCTCGTGAGATGTGTCCTAGATGGCCTTGGGATGTATCGTCTTCACTCTATACCTGGCGCAGTCAAATTGATTTCGATGTTCCCTTTCGTGCAACTCCTTCATTAAGCGAAGCAAATTTCCGCACGTTCCTTCGTTTCTGTAGCTCGATCAAATGGAGAGTTGGCGATGGGTATTCCTGCGCTGTGTTTGAGTTGGCCATCCTGGCTTTCATCGAGGGATGGAGATTCCAACACCAGGTTGGAACTTTGTGTACACCACATGCTTTTGCGACCCTTATTCGTGCAGGATTGGCCTTTTGCAAACTCAAGCAGATTGTGGTGGCTCCCTTGTTGCTGGAGAAAGGCAATAAAAGCAATGGGAAGACCTTTCCCAAAGGTGTGTTCGTTGGTGCCGAAGCCTATTTGCCAAACCCTGCACTCGAGATGCTGGCCAAAGCTTTCTCAAAGGGTGCAAAGCAATCTCCTTCGTCTTGGAACATGCCGTTTGACTCGCTCCTGTAGCACCCTGGTTGTCTTACTTGTGACCTTCTTGCAGAATGCAGGGAGGTTGCCACAGACCCTGATGTCTTGGCCGGAGAGCAAAAAAAAGGAAGCTCCCCCGCTACAGGGGGAGCTTCCTTGAAGAAGCGCTCGCACATGATTTGGTCCCTAGACTTTTAGGGAACCCTTCTCTGTACCAGGGAAGACTTGAGGCAAGCGCCGCCAGTCTCAACGCAAAGCTAAAGCAACTCCAGCAAACTTGCCAAGCGAAACCGTGAGAATTGGCGGAGGTCGGCATCCTCTGTCCGCTGGATGTCAACGTTGAATTCTCTCCAGCCCCATGTCACAGGAGCATTGCTCACCAAACTCCAAGCACGAGAGATGTGGAGAGGAATATCATATCATAGAACTGGGGTCCATCTAGCTTCACCGCGGCTTAGTGGGTCTACACACGTCTACACATCTAAATGTCAAAATCCAACACTCTTCCTGGGCAGCCATACGTTGCCCAATGTCCTCTCCACCACAATCATGGCAGCTTCCTGAAGCCAACCCAGAAAGCCGTGAGTCTCTGAACACAAGTCTGAGACCAGCAAGTCCTGATGCTAATTTGGTTGCTTGTCATAATCTGAGCCAAGTTTGCAAGGTGACCTGCTACTCTTGTATATCAAGACTCCCTCTTCAGACTTCTCATTGTGTCTTGTGTCGGCTTCTCTTTCGTTCTGTTGTCTTGAGTAACCTCTCTTTAATGTTCTCCAATTCTCCAATCCTCTCCCAGTCTCGGGCATCCGTCCAATCTCAGGGCCAAACCCACCGACTGGCACTCTCGTAGGTGTGGATCAAAGAACTACAACTGGCCCAGTCTTGAAAAAGAATTCGCAGCATGAGACATGAAATGAAATGAACGTGCCCAAACAAAACCATTGGCCACCATGCATTCTTTGGGAAATCCATGATTCAAACCCTGATCCAAAACCTGCCCGGGCATCTTTGGAAGGTCAAGACTAGAAGAGCATGCCATGCAGCAATCCTGTCTAAGGCGTCAATCTGGCCGGTCTTACGTGATGGCATTGGGTCTGAGGTCGTACCTGACAAAAGTTCAGTGTTGCCTGCTGGAATTCAAGCTATATATATATACATGTGCGCATATATACAGTACATATATATATATATATATGTGTGTTAGGCCCTAATTTGAAAAAGGAAGCGACGTCTTTTTGTGTTGATATGTTTCGTCATTGTGCGACAGACAATTGACTTGAAGAGTATGCAGAAGCATGAAGACAAATGGTTCACATTAACATGACCAAGGGCTACAACTACACCAGATAGTAAGTACAGATGATATCTGCAGCAGCAGCCAGTGACCAATATGTTTTGCAAACGCGTGGTTGCTTAGGCTGCCTTGAGAATTTGTTCATCTTTCCAGTGAACAAGTCCCCAGTGCACTGCCAAGAGCAAACCTGCACCGTAAACGGAACGCCCACTGTACAAGTCTGTGTAGGGTTTAGCCTTTTTCTTTGGAAAGCGCCAGATCCTATCAATCACCTGCATGCAGCCTTGACCTTTACAGGCGTTCTTGGCCAGGCAGCTTATGGGACACCAGACGAACGAACGTATTTTGGCATTTGCCACTGCCATGTGCCTTTGACCTTGACACACTTTTGCAATGAATGACATTGTCATGTACCACGCCGGCAAGTTCCATCTTGCACGATTTTGCTGAATCAGTGTGCAAAATTCTGATGCCACTTTGTCCCACTGACTTTCATACTTCTTTCGTAGATCACAGAGCCGATTCTCCATGTCCTCAACAGCTTTGCGATTGACTCCCAGGCGGTGGATTGGATGGGGAACCTTGTTGAGCTTCAGCAACAAGGCAGCCTAGCGTGGGTTGACAAAGCACTGGAGCCACGGCAGATGAGCATTGATCGTACAGCTCCGCCCGCTTGAGCTGCTGTAACGTAATTCAATAAGTACCTTATCTCTATATATTGAGATTATTCTTTTCACATCCACAAGGATATTACCATGATTATCTAGCAATGCATGTCTTCAGCATATGTTATCTATCTAATGCCCTTTTTCAATACCTGTCTTCATTGTTTCAGCATCTATGTTTAAAGGTGTACTTATGTCATAATTGTGTATATATGTACATTGAAAGGGTCAGTTAAATGTGCAATTACTGTGAAACCCAAGGTTAATGATTCGAAATGTGTCAACACTTTTGGAGAATAGCAGCTCTAAGTGCAGGGATTGAAGATTGCAGATTCCATCAGAAAGTCTTAAAATTAATCTTGAGTCCACGATATGGAATGAAGATGTCTGGGTGGATTGAAGATGCAAAAAAACTTTAGGGGGGAATCTTCAATCTTCAATCCTGTACTTGAAGGAATTGGGTGGATTGAAGATTACTTGAAAAACTTTCAGATGGAATCTTCAATCTTCAATCCTGTGATTGCAGGAATTGATTGAAATATTTCAATACATTCCTTTATTCCCAGAATGGTTCGAAATGTTTCGAGAATAAAGGAATGTGTCGAAACAAAGTTTTTGAGGAAATGAACAACCCTAGAGGCAGAGAGAGAGAGAGAGACACACAAAGAGACACATTGTGGTGAACCTGGGGGCACCGCATTGACCAAAAGTTGTTGTTTTTTTGCGGGGTATACAATCCGCAATCTATTGTATCTAATACATTAATGCATATATAATATATATATATATATGGTTCGGCTTTAGGGACATGCACAAATCACAGGTTGCCTACACCAAAGAAAGAGACCCGAGCGGTTGATGCGTGTGATTCCCTGTTCTCGCCTCAAAGAATTGCTCTCATTTCACCAGGCGCTACAGATCCATCAAACCACCTGTCCGACCCTTTCAAGGCTGGCCTTGCCTCCTTTGTGTTGCAATCATTGTCGCCCACTCCCAGGCTTCCACACAGGAAGCCACCTCCACAGCAGTTGGACCAAGGCAAATGATGGCCCTGAAACAGTTCTGTGGCTCCTTCCACATGGCCCTGACATGGCCCTGAAACCCTCTTCTCTGCTAAATCAATTGGTGGACCTGCTCGAAAAGAGGTTTGGCCTCTATGTTTTTTGTGCCGGGCCACAGTGGCACCCACTGAGACAGCATCCCACTGACACGGCATCTCCTGCAGCGTCAAAAGGGCCTTGGCCATGCAGAAGCATGTAGCGCACAGGTCGTGCATGCTGGATAACGATGGATTGTGTGGACACAGGTCGTGCGGCCCCAAAACCGTCCACCAGGCTTAGGCTTAGCCAGTCCAACCTACCGTCCACAAGGCTTGGCTCAAACCGGCAGGTCGCACCCCAAGGGATGAATGTAGAAATATGCTGGAGCGCGTCTATTGATAACAAGGTAGCAATTCTATCAATGTTAGCTGTCTCGTTGTGTTTGTATCGTTTCTTGAAACAAACAAACTACATGCTATGGACGGGATGGACCCCTGCAGGTCAGTGCTCTCAACCCCACTGCTTCCTTTACAGCGCCAACTTCCTAGGCTGGGAACTACTTGCCAGTCTTGATAGCTAACCCTATAACAATGTCTAAGAGACCCTGACGTCTTCCCAGTGTTCAGGGCCCAAGCCCCTCATCATCGCCTGGAATTGCTGCAGCGAGTCATATCTTAAGGGAATCCCTCAAGGGGTCTGCCAGGGGGGCTTACGTTCAGACAAGCCCGTTTGAGACCCTGCACTTTGTCACACTCTGCCCAAACTGGGGTCCAAAACAAATGTTGATACGTGAACAAGGGCCACAACAGTGATCCGTGATCCTGTAGAGTGCAAACTTGAAAGAACTTTCGAACCAGACCTCAAGCTCTGGATTTTTTACAAATCAAGCCACAGGCTTGAGGCTACTTTGAGGGATAGGATTTGAGGTTTGGTCAGAAAGAACATCAATGTTTATATAACGTGTTTAACATTGTTTGACAGTAATAGCTATGGGGAAGAACAGCTCATTCTGTGCTCATTGTATGCATAGAACTCTGACCCTTTGCGCAACTAAAGAAGCTTGTGGTGGCATACAAATACACGTTCTCTTAGATTCCAACCGAAAAGGCGAAGTCTGTAGGTTGCGGCCCTTGCCTGCAAGCGTCAAAAAGAGCCAGATGCTTGCAGAAAGTCAAAAGGATCGGACCAGGTAGCGACCAGGACCTGGAGAATCATCCCAACTCAGTAGTGGGTGACATGCCGAGTGCATCCGCGTGCGAACGAGGATGCATCTGGTGACTGGTGCGCTCCCACCATAGCTGCTGTCGCCTCTTCATGTCTTCGATCAAATCTAGGGCCTCTTCCTGAGTGGCTCATGAGTCGCCCTGTGCGTCTCTTGGATCTACATGTTTCTTCTTGTTACTACTAGCAAGGCACTTGTTACTAGTAGCGTGGCACTTGTTCCTACTAGTAAGGACAAGGTGCATATGCATGCAAATCTGCCCGAGTACACCTGTGGCACACTTGGTTGCTATTTGAGAATTCCTAGCAACGCGCTTTCGTTTTGAGCTACGACCACATGATCCTACAAAGCGAACGGGTCGTTCAAACGCGTGACACCAGGTCAGTCGGTCGCGTGACACCAGGTGGCCCATGAAGTGTCTCGGGCAAGGCAATCCACCACAGAGCTGCTGAAGGCCACATTGGCTTCGATGGCCCTGGTGATTTTGGGGGACTCAAAGCGTTGCTCCCAGCTGGGTGAAAATTGTCAAACTAAGGACGGATGGTGTTCGGATCCCAAAGCGAATCAGATCATTTCGGATCGATGTTCGATTTCAGCTTGCTCACGGCCGGAGACAGCCCCATGTCATGGATCTGCTGTCATTTAAGACACAAAATCAAGATCAAGGTCCAAATCGAGGTGAAGTTTGCGTGGCTGTAGATTTAACAAGCAATTTGTGTTGGTTTTTGGTCAATGCAGTTTGAATGCGCTTTTGAGCATCGGCCAACAGTTGCAGTGCGCTGGTCCAAACCATGGAAGAAATTGTTGGAGAGTGCTTTAAGTTCTCAAAATGAGAACCCTAAAACTGAAACTCCTTTTTGGATCCTTCTTCTTAATTCGTGCCATGCAAAATGGGATCTACGACAAAAACACGACTACCCCCCGAAAGGAAAGCTAAAATGATCTGCTAGGAAACCTACTTTGGGTTGAAGAGCTCAGGAAGAAACTCATGTGTCTATGGGTTTCGACGCAAGAAACTCAAGCCGTTGCACCAGTTTCCACATGACTGCGACATCCACTGCTAGCCATGTGGAAGAAGTCCGCTGCCCGCGTTTATACAACAGGCAACACAACCGTGTGGAACTGCACCGCTTGGTTCCAAACAGCCAGCAGCATTGGCGCCATGAGATTACAGCAGGAGAGAGGTGCGACCCACCCTGGCCTGGTACAAAAAAAACTGCGCAAAGGGAGATACTTCAGCTTTTGTGGGTGTAATTAGACAGTCACCAGGCCCATGTTGTAAAGTTAAAGAAACTGTGCAGCCGAAGAAAATGCTGTGGACAGGTGCCCCAGTGCAGTACACAACACTGTCAGTGTAGGAGCAAGCACGTGAGTGTAGAAAGGCAACAAACCCATGCTGTAAATGAGCTGAGCACC